GCGATCTCGGCTCACCGCAACCTCCGCCTCCTGGGTTCAGGCAATTCTCCTGCCTCAGCCTCCCGAGTAGCTGGGATTACAGGCACGCGCCACCATGCCCAGATAATTTTTTGTATTTTTAGTAGAGACGGGGTTTCACCATGTTGACCAGGATGGTCTCGATCTCTTGAAATCGTGATCCACCCGCCTCGGCCTCCCAAAGTGCTGGGATTACAGGCTTGAGCCACCGCGCCCGGCCTCCCCTAAATCTTAAGCTATTTATTGCCTGCTGTTTAACTTAACTGAATATTATCTCATCTTTTATCACAATATACTTCAAGTTAATGTTGACTTATATCCACTAAAATATTTTAAGAACTTCATACCAGCCCTCCCCTTGGTGCTATGGTTTTATATATACATAGCTCATCTATGTATGTTATAAAGGCCACAACAGTATTTCCATTTTTCTTTAAATAGTCACATTTGTTTAAATAAATTAAAAGAAGACAGGGGAAAATACAGCCCACATATTTTCCAAGTGCTTTCATTCCTTTCTTTGGATCCAGATTACTTCTGGAGTCATTTATCTTCACCCTGAAGGAATTCTGTTAGCATTCCATATAAGTGCAGGTCTGCTAACAACAAATTCAGTATCTATTTATCTAGAAACGTTTTCATTTTGCCTTTACTTTGAAAGAAGAGTTTCACTGACTATAAAAGTACTGTTTGACAGAGATTTTCCCCATGACTTTAAATATGTCACTCCAATGTCTTTTAGTCTTTCCTGTGTATAAGAGAATCAAGTCACTAAGTGTATTCTTCCCGTTTGTGATGTTTAATTTTTCTCTTGCTTCCTTTCAGATTTTCTTTTTATCTGTCTTTCAGCAGTTTGATGATGATGTATCTAGGTATGGTTCTGTGTTTGCGAATGCTTATTCTACTGAAGGTTTGTTGAACTTCTTGGATCTGTTAATGTTTTTCACCAAACATGGAAAATTTTTTAGCAGTATTTCTTCAAATAATTTTTTCCACTTTTTTCTCTTCCTCTTCTCATCTTCTGGGATGCCTACTACATGTCTGCTAGAACGTCTGCTATTGTCCCACAGGTGTCTGAGGCTCTGCTCATTTCTAGTTGGACTTGACACCAAAAACACAGGCAACGAAGGCAAAAACAGACAAATGGAACTACACTAAAACTAAACACATCTGTGCATCAAAGAACACTTCCTTCAAGAAAAGCTGCAGGTTTTTGCTACCCATGCAAGAATGCCACCTGTTTTTACCTGTAAAGAAAAAGTACCTGTTTTTACCAGCTACAGTAGCAGCTTTTCATCAATGAATGCTTTCCTAGTTGTTGCCTACCTGGTCATTTTCTAACACCTTTAAACAGCGTTTTTTAATAATTTTATGCTGTTTTTTTTCTTGATTCTGTGGAAAAGAATTGCCTGACATCCTCACCCTGCTATTATCCCAGGACATATTAGTAAGGTGGAGCCAAAAAGGATTTTCTGACAAACTGGATGTGGATACAAAACACAGACAGTAGTCAAAGATGATCCTGAGGCTTTCCATTTGAGCAAGCAGAAGAATGGAGCTGTCCCTGAAGACTATGAGAAGAACAGACAAGCAGAGGAAGGTCTGGAATTCAGTTTCTGACATGTTACATTTGAGTTGTCTATTAAACATTCAAGTAGATACTGTCATGGAAGTTTTAGAGAATTACAGCTTTATTGGCTGGGAGAATGAATTAGATATTAATAAGGGTCCCTCAAAAGGTCAGTTTGCATGAATTCTACACCAGAAAGAAATGGTTCAGTAATATTTGTTATCAAAGTTCAGAGAAACAAAAGCTTACTGAAGCAGGCGATGAACAAAGAAAAAGGACTTAAAAGATAAAACTGAGATGGCCAGGCAAAAGGCACTATGCAAAGGGACAAAGAAAGAAAAGTAGAATAGAAGTGTAGGAGAGAGGAGAAAGGAAAATGAAAGACCATATCAATGAAACCTTTCTCTAATGAAAGAACTAGAACGGAAGATTGCACAGTAGCAGGTTTAGGCAAAATATGACAAAAACAAAACCTCTAAGGAAGTCTGCAGAGTATATGTAAGTGACTATATATAATTAATACCCAAAGAACAGATAGGAACCATACAGAGACTGAAACGGAAGTACTAGAAGAGGAGGTTTTTAGAAGCAAATGAGAAGACAGTTGGAGGGTGTACTGAAGCTGAGACTAAGAATAGGACTTCCAAGCGGAGATGCCACTTAAGAAATAATGCAATTCTTTAGCAAATTGGTTAATTAGATTATCTAACAATTATAGCTACTAACATGTCTCTATGAGACTAAAGGTATAAAAAAATTTGTATCCATGTTTCACATAAGCTTTAGCAGTTCCTTGAAGCAACATACCAAAATCTGGGCTGTGGAGTTCAACACAGTTCAGATAAAATAAAAATTGAAATGTACCATAAAAGTTGGGGGAAAAAACTTGTAAGACTTGATAACCCTTAAAAAAAATAGTGAGAGATATCACTATAAAGATAACATTTTAGGTGTGCTTTACAGAATAATTTTCATTGATGAGATTAAAATGGGAAGAGGAAATGTAAGCTGGAAGGACCTGGAAAGTGAGAAATCAAGGTGCTATACTATGTATCAGCAGAAGAATCAATGCGACAAGGAAAGAAGGTGCTAATTGGCAAATTCTGATCCTGTGAAGAGTACTAACTAGATTAGGATTCCTGACACCAGATCCTAATTCTCCTATTAATTTATTTTAAAAAAGTAGGTTGTTCTTCATTATCTCATTTTTTTCATTTGTATTTACTCCTAAGGGTTTTGATGATAAAATAAAAATGCATGTAAAAGAGGTCTGAAAAGGAAACACGCTAGGCAAATTCATGGCAAAATTAGTAACATACAAATCATAAATGCTTTAGCTATTGTACATACTTGTAAGTCAACATTTTCCATGCTGCTTCTATTAGCATCTTATCCAGACTACGATTCTAACAATTAAGGGTTTATTAATGAGAATAGTAATTGTTATACTCTACCTTTGCAGTCAGGAGTAGGGCTAAAAGAAGAGTTCCTATCACTAACAAAAATATGATGAAAATGCTAATTATTTTATCTAACATCTTCTCCAACCAGATGATCATCTGCATAAAAATGAAAAAGAGAATTACTTTAAAGTACTTTAAAAATATATACACTCAATTATCATAAAAACAAAACAGGATCTTCAGCATAGCAAAGCAAACTATGGCATAATAATTAAAGCAATAAAAGCTGTAAGCAACTTTAGAAACTTCACAGTACTCTTCACTGCTGTTGTTATACAGTTTATTACTGTCATAGCTAAGAAAAAGACAGTCAATTTCAACATAACCCATAACTATGTTCGAATTCTCAAACTGTAGGTTACCTATGTTTCAAATTGTAATTTATAACCTGGTAAGTATTCTAAACAAAATATTAACAATCTGTTAGCTGACCTAAAATCTCATGAAGCTGTACCAACAGTTTAGCAAATATACATGACTTTAGCAAAAGTATGCCTTTAATAATAAAGGCATAGCCTTAAAAATGCAAATAAAATTGGGGCAAATTAAAGGAGGAGCTGCATTCAAAATACTTTTTCCATTTGATATCATTATAATTACAAAGGCAGTAATTTTAAAAATCTAACGTTAAGGCAATGATAAATAACAAATTAAAAATAACAGTTGCCTGAGGAGTGAGGGGTTGCAAGGTGAATGCACAATCAAGGAAGGGCACAAAACAGGCTTCAGGTTAATTTGTTTTATTAATTGGGCAGTCGTTGGTAGATAAATGCATATTCTTTACATCTTTTTATGTTTCAAATGTTTCATAATACATAAAATGCTTTTTAAAATCTGATATTCTACTTGAAGTTTCTATTCTTCTGAAAACATAAGCTTTATGACACAATTAAATTGATACAAATATAAAAGTCAATGTAGTAGCTGTTCCTTAATCAATAATTAAAATTGTGCTTTCCCTAAATGCTGACATTCTGTCTTGCTATAACTTCCCTCATCTTTCACAACCACAAATAATCCTACATTTTAAACAACTTGTGTTTTCAGAATACATACTTGATTGCGAGAATGCCTGTCATGCAAAGCTACCACCTAACATTTCAAAACTGCTTTTAACTATATGAATAACTGCTGAAACACCACAGTGCACCCCTCAACCCCAGCATGAACAGCATTGCTAAATAAGTTATTCTTAATTATAATCTAAGTAAGTTATTCTTATTCTTAATTTAAATCTGATTTATGCTCTCCAAATGGTCAATTAACCAAAAATAAAGAATGTTGGTTAAAAAAACAACATGACTTCTGCAGCATTTACTTTCACTCAATGTTTATGAGCTTGTGCTCCCCTGCCCCCCTGCCTTATCTGTTTTTCATCAAGGACACTGTCACTAAGAGATGGATGCTAAAGTGAACTCAAAGATAAAGTTAATCTTTAATCTTGACAATTACAGCTGCAAACAGAAGAGTTAATTTTCAGTGCATGCTACCAAAGCATCAAACACAATGCAGAGACTAAAAAAAAAAAAAAGGAATAACAGGTTTCTAAGATATGGAAGGTCAGATGTCATATTTTGAGGTTAAATTCTAAAATCAGTGAAACTGAAAACTTTCACAATCAGAAACCAAATGAAAAACTAGCTCTTGAGGCAGCTTCCTGAGGAAAGACCTAGGTTTGTATCACTCCTCTTTATATCTCCAAAATCCTAAGTGCTTGGCACGTGGTAAGTATTCAATCACTATGCATTTGAATAACCAAGCATAAATAACTTCAGAATTAAGACTAGATTTGTATTCACAAATTACAATTTCTGAAAATAATGTTGGAGCCTCTATTTTTTTAATCAGAAAAGTCACATCCTGAAATATATTTTTAAATGTAAATAATACTCTATTTAGAAACATGTTTGAGTATTTTTAACATATAAAACATAGAATATTCAAAAATATATTATGTACATTGACATTATAATATCAAATTTTTAAGTTTTCAGTTAGGGTAAAATTTTTCTATCACAAGCCATAAAGGTTGAAAAGAATTCAGAGTCACCTAAATAAAAATGTACATCCAAGGGATGACAGTGAAGGTTGGATGTTTCACTGAAATTTAAAATCAACAAAATTAAGATGCTCAAAAAAGAAACTAAGAAGTTGTTGTTGTGTTCATCACATGTGGCCAGTTAAGTTAGCTGAGAACAGAACAAGAAGGGAGAAGGTAAGAGAGAGGAAAGAGTGGGAAGGAGAAACAGAGACTAAGACTTATTAAAGAATAAAAGGAAACAGAGAAGGTCAAGAAAAAAAAGTGTGGGCAGGGGGAGTTGGTACATAAAACTAAGGATCAAAAGAGGAAAAAAACCAAAGAGGATAAAAAACTTGGATGGAGGAAAAGAAGAACCAACTCCTTGAAAGACTGAATAGAACAAGACTCACAAAGAAACAGCAAAGAGAAACACAAAGAGGAAGCAATAAATGGAGAATGAGACCAAAAGCTAAAGGTGATATCTCACCAGGGTGATCCTGTCCCATGTTCTGCTTCAGGCAAAGGAAACAAAACCACCTGCCTTTACATGGAAATTGCACAAAGTCTGTAAATTTCCCCAATGTTTCTATGCTGAAAGACTGAGAAGTGACTTTAATTTTTAAGGCTTATTTTTCTAAAAGAGAAGAGAAATAATTTTAAAATGGCAATCTGAATGTTTCAAATGTGAATGAAGGGCATGCATTTTTTAAATTTAGAGATGTCAGTGCATTTATAGTTACACCAAAAGACACTCTAAAACTTCTACACTAACTGGCCTTATTTATCAAGCTATTAAGGAAGTATTCTACTACTGAGTTTTTCTTCTCTTACATTATTCTGGGCCTATAAATTTTCATTTTGCTTTGTTTTTAAACAAAATTCCACTTGGGTGCAAATAATCAATACTAAGAAATAAAACAAAGCCAGGCACAGTGGCTCACACATGCAATCCTAACACTTTGGGAGGCTGAGGAGGGCTGATCACTTGAGCTCAGGAGTTCAAGACCAGCCTGGGCAACATAGCAAAACCCCATCTCTACTAAAAATACAGAAACAACAACAACAAAAAACAGGCATGGTGATGCACACCTGTGGTCCCAGCTCCTTGGGAGGCTGAGGTGAGGGGACTGCTTTGGCCTGGGAGGTGGACGTTGTAGGGAGCTAGGATCACGTCACTGCACTCCAGCCTACAATCCGTTTTAAGTTAAAAATAAACATTACAGTATGTGGACAGAGCAAGATCCTGTCTCAGATTTTAAAAAAAGGCAAGAAAAGAAATAAAACAATTAACTCTTTTGAGAAATAGGTTACATTTCAATTAACCATGATGTGTGCTCTCTCACCCTCTCTTCTCTTGAATTGGCTTCCTAATTCACTCCACTTGAATATTTTACATAACAAAATTACCCAGTGCTGCAATTTTCTGACTTTGAGATGTAATGTAATAAAATAGTTCTCAGCTTATGAATTTCCTTTCTTAAAATACACCCACTCAAAATCTCAGAGTTACTCTAACTTTACACCAATACTTTATTATGTTACACGGAATCATCAAAGAAATGAAAAAAGTTACTTGATCATAGAGATACTTTAAAACTAACTCAATGATTCAGTTATGAATTAGGCTCATAAATTAGGTAATCTAATTCATTTAGTCCACCAAAGTTAAATCAAATTAAATCCAATGAATTTAGTTCTCCTTTCCCCCATCTCTTGAAGGCAATTTCATTTCAATATAACACAAATTGGAGAAAAGTGCAAAACCATCTACTTTGATAGCTTGAGCCCAGGAGTTCACAGTTGCAGTGAGCTACTATTGTGCCACTGCACTCCAGCCTGAGCAACAGAGCAAGACTCCATCTCTAAAAAACAATTAAAACAAATAAAAATTTTTTTAGAAACCACCTTCTTTGATCAAAATTTTAAAACATGACTTACATTTGTACATCATTTGCCAGGATTGAACTCACTTGCCCATACTAGTTTTATAGGGAATTGAGATATACACAGCCATGTGAGAGTGTGGGGGTGCTTATTTTACACAAGGTTTCTTTTCAACCAAAGTTCAAAACATTAGGCATTGTCTCCCCTCTCCTCCATTTCAACAGAAAAAAATAAAATCCTAATCCCATTCAAAAGTCTCATTTTGATCTATTTTCAAGAAGGCCTGATATAATATTTCTAAGGAACACTAACATATATAGTTTTATTATGTTTAAACACAACATATATAAATGATGTCATCGCTTGCTATCTGTCCTAGAGATTCATTGAAATTATTATTACTTTCTTTTTTTTTTAAAGAAACAGGGTCTTGCTGTCACCCAGGCTGGAATGCAACGTGCAATCACTGCTCACTACAACCTAGAATTCCTGAGCTCAAACAATCCTCCTGTCTTAGCCTACTGGGTAGTTAGGACTACAAGTGTGTGCCACCATGCCTGGTAATTTGATTCATTACAATTAATTCGAACATTACAATATGTGGACTATATGTCAAGGTTCAGCATTTCTAATATGTCTGGATTAGCCGTTATTAAATTTATTAAAAGTATACCTATTATAATTCCATGCCAATCATGTGAAGCATTTATCATAAACGCAACCTCATACCTTGGAGAAAACACAAAATTCGATGTCACAGGCGATGACTACAATCTGTTTTAAGTTAAAAATAAATCTTGAAATACTAGTTATTTAAAAAAAGATAATATATTAAATTATCAGCCAATGAAACCATACAAATATTTCACAGATTTGTCTTTTTAAAAACTTCCTGTGCCATTTATTTTAAAAAGTAGCAAATAGAGAGTTCTCTCTTACCCTTACAATAACCATTGCCTAATGTGCTTTCACACATCAAAGGAGACTAGAATATCAGGCTGAGCAACATTTACAGAACTTAAAGGAATGAAAATCATTTACAGTAGAGAAAAGGACTACGAGACAGAACTTCTTACAAACACTTGAGCAAGAAGATACCACCCATATCCTACACAGCCTTTGCTGAGTTTTCAGCAAATTATACTGTGATAGTATTCATGCTTCATGACCTTCCATAGCTTATAATTAAAACTTTGAAAACAGAAACTTAGTTTGACACCTGGACAGAAACACAAAGTGAGAAAGGCGATACAGGGGCTGTTACAGAATTCAATAGTAAAAATCAACATCTGGGTGTTCATTTACCTTCTTATTTAGCCAGTGCCAGAGCTTGAGGATAGGGGGTAAGGTGAGAAAGAGAAGATAAGAACAGTGGAATATCATTAGAGAATGCAATCATAGTATGAAAAGAAATGAAAAGGAAAGCATGAGAAGGAAACTGTCCCAGACAAAGGAAAAACTAGGGGTGGAAAAACTGTAATACATCAAAGTTTTAAAATCAAGAGAATGTAGTACTCCTTTAAGATATACAACGATTAGAAATGATGATAACCGCACCACTGTTGGGAATCCAACAACTAAAAATATATAAACCCCCCCCAGCATGCTCGTAGGCTTAGAGTCTTCACGCCTTTGCACTGCTCCATCTGCTTGCCCTTCTGGCCGTGTCTACCTAAGAAACTCCCGCCCGTGCTTCAAACTTACTCCAGTATCACTTCCTCTGCTCTCCTTCCCTTTCTCATGACCCTATCAACAGTGAGTCATTTCCTACTCAGTGCTGCCACTGTATCCCATACGCATTTTCATACACAAATTCCTAACACTTACACAGAGCTTACCATGTACCAGGCATTGATCTAGGGATTGTACATATATTACCTCATTTAATCCTTACCATCATTCTGAGGTAGGTGCTACTGTACCCATTTCACTAGTACAGAAACAAGGCCCAGAAAGGTTAAGGAATTTTATGGATTCATACTCCATGCTCTTTAACCACTAAGGCTCCAAATCTAACCACCATCTCTGAATATTTATAAATTGCTGTCTTTCCCCAGTATACAAGGCTTCTGTATCTGGTTTTCTATGACTCATCTGATTTTCTGTAGGACTTAATACAGTATCTGACATATGGGTATTACCACAAAAATATTCACTAAACTGAACCACTACCTAGCTACAAAATTTTAGGCAAATCACTTAACCTCTTTGGATTTCAATTTAGTCCTAATACAACGAGGGAATTAAATAATAATATCCAAATCATAAGATCCATTTCTCCCACTTTTATGAGGAAAAAATACTTACACAAGCCTTATTTAAAGTAAACCCATCTTATCCTAATGTAAATCATAATTCTAAACATTAAACCTTTCATCATAGCTATTAAATGGGTTATCAACAATTACAATATAAACACCATGGAATGGAAGATTTCAAACCATGAAATACATTAACTCCGTTAAGACAGCCCAAGTCCTTAAAATACAATACCTTGCTATCAACTTTTAACAAGAATTTTCCAAGCCCAACAATGGGCCAAGGCGCGAGAGCTCCCTGCCGCTCCTTCAGGAAGCTTTCTATAATACCCCACCACACATGGTAGTGTTTCTCCAGGAAGTCCACAACTCCAAAGTGAATGACAAGCTTTTTCAGTATCCAGACTAAAAGAAGATAAAAAAAATACATATATAAATAAAATGTAGATTAAAAAGTTGTAACATGAAAAGATTCCTTAATTTCACATGAACTTTCTGAAACAGCAAAGCTAGTGTTAAAATAAAAATCAATGTTAAAAAGTAAGGTGGGATTCAAAGTATGCCAAAGAGATGGAATAGGACCAAGTAACTTTTCAAACCACCTCACTTGCCTATATATATTACCTTCTTCGCAAAGTCTAAACCCCTGAAGGAGTCGGGGATTATTTTACAGCCCATATAAACATAAAATACTCTTATCGTGAAGATTTCAGTGACTACAATTCTGGCTCCTCAGATACTCCCCCTTCCTAAGTAAAGAATATAAACAACCGACACTTCCTCATCTCCTTGGCTTTTACAGGTGCTCTTGTCAAAATTTCTTCTTTTCCTTAGGTGTTTGTTATTTAGTGACCAGAAATGTATAAGGTATTCCATATGCATCATGATTTTGTACCAATGCAGGGTATTGTTCCTGATTCCCTATTTGATGCTGATCTCAACATCTAAACAGATGCCAGGGTTCAGATGTTGAGAGCAGCATCAAATGGGGAATCAGTAGGTTGAGTACTAGCAGGGCTGCTACAAACGGCCCAAGGCTGTGCACTGCAACTTCAGTGGGGACCACTCTCAGACCACACTGTCTCCTCCTGGAGTTGGGCAGTGCAATGACCCTTCAAGTAGAGGTCAAGCTTCCTGTTAGAAGCCAACTAAGAAGGTGGCAGGGCAAGAAGGAAGTGTTATTTAACTGTGAGTCTTACCTTGATGTTTGGACCCTGGATCTCGATCACTATATAATTTGCCTGCCTCTAGAGATTTCTGTTCTTAGCTCTGGCCTTACAACCTAAAGGTACACAATTTGCTACACTGAACCATGAGTTCAGTGTTACACACCAGTTCAACAACTCCTTCCTTATCATTTTTAAATCCCTAGAAAGGCCCTAGAAGAAACTCTATAGTTTCAGTAAGTCCAGGGTAATTACAAGCTGTAGAAAAGCCTTTAGGGGCCACCTTATTCACAGCCTACTCTCCCAGGATCATGTCAAACTCCTATGACCAGGTTAAGCTATGACTAAAAAAAATGAAATTCCTGCTAACAAACTTCAAGGAAAAGAGAGTTGCAACACCCTTTCACATAGTTTGCCATCATAATGAAATCATCTGAAAAATCATCAAAAATTGAAATCATCAAAAAAGTACGGAACAAGCCAGTAGAGCAATTTAAACTGTTTTACTCAGTTTAACAGAAAGCATGACCATGGAATCGGCTTTGTGACTTGCTTAATTAAAACTCTATCTTGTTCCAACTGCCTAACAGAAGTTCTATTTGAGGACACAAGAAGCAGATACAGGCCGGGCACAGTGGCTCACACCTACAATCCCAGCACTTTGGGAAACTGAGGTGGGAGGATTGCTTGCATGAGCCTGGGAGATCGAGGCATCAGTTAGCCATGTTTGTGCCACTGCACTCCAGCCTGGGTGATAAAGTGACACCCTGTCTCCAAAAAAAAAAAAAAAAAAAACCAAGATACAAACTTCAACCATTTTTATATTGTATACTCCCTGAGGACATGCACCACTATAGAATGCTCTGGTCATAATAAGTGTTAAAAAATAAAAATAAAATGCCTATTTAACTAACTATCCAATGTAGTGAGGAAAAATAAAAATGAGTGATGAAAGCTAATGATCTAGAAGGTAAATAGGACAATAAGTTTAGACTTGTAAACTATGGTGGAGAACAGCTTCCAAAAATCAGATTACATTTTAATCAACAGCGAAAAACCTTGACATAGGAAATGAGGAATAATCAATGCAGGAGGTACTTGGATAGCAAAATCCACAGCAGTCACTAAGGACATAATAAATTTGGCACAGAATATGGCTGCCATAAGAAGAAAGCCCAGTAATCAGGAAAAGTATTAAGTAAACGATGTTTCTACAACGCACCTGTCAGAGAAAAGGCTTCCTTACTTTTTTTATTCTTAGAAGAAAGACAGTTTGAGACAGAATCAAAACAATAGTGGTGGGCCTCAAATTACTGCAGCATTAAGATACAAAGACCTGATTCAATAGAATATGGAAAACTATGATTCCATTTTGATGTAACACATATAATACATACATATATACATGTAATTCAATTTTTCTGCCAAACAAATCGCAAGACTTTGCATCCATATATTTCTCAAAGCCTACATTTCCTCTGAATTAAAAAGGCAATGTAAAATATGCTTCCCTAAGAGTAGCGCCCAAAAATAATTCAATCTCAGCTGGGCACGGTGGCTCACTCCTGTAATCCCAGAACTTTGGGAAGCAGAGGTGGGCGGATGACTTCAGGTTAGGATTTGAGACCAGCCTGGCCAACATGGTGAAACCCTGTCTCTACTAAAAATACAAATTAGCCAGGTGTGGTGGCACAGCCCTGTAGTCCCAGCAACTCAGGAGGCTGAAGCAGGAGAACTGCTTGAACCCAGGAGGCAGAGGTTGCAGTGAGCCAAGATTGTGCCACTGCAATCCAACCCGGGCAACAGAGCAAGACTCCATCTCAAAAAAAAAAAAAAAAAAAAAATCATTTGATCTTCAAATTTCAAAACACAGATGGTCGTTAACATTCTCCTCCACAGAATCATGGATGGCTAAACAGTCAAATCTCTACATGGAGCTACTAATCTCAAATACCACATGAAATTTTAAGAGGCTAAATACATTTTTGAGCTTAAAAGTAAAATATTAAAGATGTATCAAGGTAATACATTAACAAAATGGTGTTTGTATACTATTTAAATGCAAACATAAGATTGTTTTACTTTGCAAGACAGTAAATTTAACTCAAATATTAAAATCCAAAGTAAAAAAAAATAAGAAAACAATCTTCAAAGACGAGACGAGATCATACTTAACCAGATAACAACCTGCAATCGGCACTGGCAGCAACTGCACAATCCACAGGTTCAACCAGATCTGCACGACGACAATGGCCCAGACCAGAGACACGAAGTAGATGTCACTAGTTTTCTTCTTTCTAAGAAACGTTCCTATTTCGGGCCTTCGTCTGCCCAGAGTGGGTGAAGGGGAAGTGGGTGAAGGGGAGGAGGGTGAAGGGGAGGTAGATAATGTTGGAGGGGATTCTTCCCTGTCCACTGCTTCTGAAAAGGGAAAGAAAAACACCACACACCGTATTAGTCCACATGAGGAAACAGGAATACAGAGCCACTTGTTAGGCCAGCCTGTTTCAGGCCTTCAAAATGTGCTGATATGGTATGATTACACTGGGTTAAAAAACACAAAAATATTTGAATCTATGTTTGCATATGCACTGAAAAACGTGTGGAGAATTACAATGCCAACGGTGCTTAATCTAGGAAGAATAAGTTAGTTGGTGATAGAACTGGGAGTCATTAAAACAAAATACATGACAAAGTAGCTAAGAATTATAATTATCCCATAAAAGTTATTCAAACTATTTACAGAAACAACTGCTAACATATACTAGAACTTCTATATTTAAAAATCCCTCTTAATAGAACTTTCAATTAGATGCATTTATATGTATTTCTGACACAAGAAAGCTTTTCGGCGTTATATCATCTAAAATGGAACCAATTAATCTTACAAGAACCCAAGGCTTTCAAACAGATAGAAGATACAAAAAATGAATGAGATATAAAAACAATGACAGATTTCTGGGGTAACGATTTTCTTTTTTTTTTTTTTTTTTTTTTTTTGAGACGGAGTTTCACTCATGTTACCCAGGCTGGAGTGCAATGGCGCGATCTCAGCTCACCACAACCTCCGCCTCCTGGGTTCAGGCAATTCTCCTGCCTCAGCCTCCTGAGTAGCTGGGATTACAGGCACGCACCACCATGCCCAGCTAATTTTTTGTATTTTTAGTAGAGACGGGGTTTCACCATGTTGACCAGGATGGTCTCGATCTCTTGACCTCGTGATCCACCCGCCTCGGCCTCCCAAAGCGCTGGGATTACAGGCTTGAGCCACTGCGCCCGGCCTACGATTTTCAAATAAAGGAAACCATACTGGATTATTTCATATGAGGCACTGTTTTCTAACAATGCAACTATTATGCTACATTTTACTATACAATGCTATTATTTCTATCTCCTAGTTTTAATAAGATATACCATATACATCAGAAATCATATAACTCTTAAAGTAGTATTAGTCTATATATACCTAATGATGAAAATTATTAAGATCCTAAAAATTGCATTTTGCCTTCCATTAGAAAAAAATGTTAATAACAAAGCATGTCATCATACAGATCTGGTTGAACCTATAGATTGTTAATCACAAAAGTATCATACATCAGAAGGTCTAGAAAAAAGAAAAGAAATAACAACTCCCATAATCCGAACCTCACATTTTCCCCATGGTCTTTTACATAGTTGTAGCATGTTCCACTCATCCTTTCTCATTCTTTCTCTTCAGCTGAAAGTCAGCTCCACCACAGCGAAGACCTTGTCTGTTTTGTTCTCCCTCCACTGAATTCCTGGCACATACAATAGTATCTAATATATAGGAGGTGCTCACTAAGTATTTGAATGAATGACTTCCCTGGGGTTTAATAATTTTCATAAGCAAATTTCATACCACACAGTAGTCCACTAAGTGCTATATCATAATTTCCTTAGGGTTTTTAATGTTAAATGTTCAGCTATGAGTAAATTTTTACTACTGAGATCACTTGCACCCTGGTAAGTCAGCTCACCTCATTAGGACCAACATTCCACCCTTAAGTTCAGGGCTAAAGCCCAAGCTAGTTAACAGATGCTTTTGTTTGACTTTGCTCTGAGTATCGGTCTAATTTGGAAATTTCATGTTGGTAGGTGTGACAGATACTTGGAAGAGTAAGTCCAAAACCAAAACCTCACTTCCTCTCCACTTTGGAAACACGATTCCATATGCAAGAAAAATAAAGTGTTCCTACTATACCAAATTCCTTTCTCTTAGCTGACATTTCTAAAGTCAGTTCTTCAAGGAGAATTCACTCTAAATATTCCCTAACTCCAAATACCTCTGGCCCTAATGGACCTCTCAGCACAGACTGAGGTGGCCTTTCACATTCCTGAACTCTGCAAGAGTACAGCATGACTCTACAGCCGACATAAATCAAATCTACATACTGGATTCCTCCGGAGCCTACAACTCCCAAAGCCAGGCCACATGGGACAATGAATCCAAAACAACCAGGGAGGTCTGTTTTAGGGGTCAACATATTAACATATGAAGCATGCAAACTTTTAGAGAAAGAATGCCAGAGAAATGAATGACTGCAAGATAGAAAATAAAAGTCTTCCCCAAAAAAAGGGTTGGGGAAAGGGAACAAAAGAAAAAGCAAGAGGAAGAGACAGAGCAAAATAAAATCATGGAGGAGAACTGACAGTTGTAGAAGAAAGAAATGGAAAGTAAGAAGTCAAGATAAGATATGCATAAAGTGGGTGGAAATGTGGGAAAGGTAAATGGAGACTGAGAAAAGGAAAACAAAGGAAAAAAAGCAATGAAGAACAAAAGAAAAATAAGAAAAGCCTTTTTAAAAAGGAAGGAACAAAGAACCAAGATAAGACACTCAAGAAGGTAAATAATGAAATGTATTTAAAAAGTGATATATGAGTACAAAGATGAGAGGGAAAAGGGTATAAAAATAAGAACCAAAAATAATACATGAAGGATCAGCAGAAGTAGTATTTTGTGATGCTAGTGTCCAAAATTTTACATTCTATTGACATTTTATTTTCCAGAATAACCTTGAATGTCACCAGAACATCAGTCACCTGCAGGCTGAGTGGAGAGCTGGTCTTCACTGCTTGATTCATACCCTGTGATAGAGATGGCCAAGTTTGCCAGAGTAGAAGCTGCCATGGAGATAACCTGCCCTGGTAACTCTGCCCCTGTAAAAGAAGCATCCATTTTCAAAACTTTTTAATGTAAGAAATAATGGCTGCAAATTTAAACACAGTCCAAAGTTTTCAATGACAACAAAACAAAATGGTTAATACTGACCCACTGAATCAGTGCTTCTTCACCAAGGAAGAATCCTTAAGAATCAACATGAAAGTGTGCCAAAAAAGCAAATTCCTGGACTTTCTGAATACCTTCCCCCTTTGGGAACTTCATGCTGGTGGATGTGGCAGATACCGCACATGTAAATTTTGGAGTGCCACACTTAACATCCGTTAACAAGCTGACTTTAACGCATTACTTCTACTGAAAAACACTGGCTACATCAAGTCTGTGAACTCCCTGATCTGACTGTATTAGGCTTGTTGTATGGCTAGGTCTCACCTTAGTATGAGATAGTCCACATTTGTTGATCAGAATAACAACATTCCACAAATGAGTATGCAAATATATGGGTATTATGCAAAACCATATAGATCTATAAATTACATAACTCAGTACAGGCAAAATCCACCACTTGAAAATCTAAAGGAACAAAATGACCTTGTTTCATGTTATATATTTCCATGTTAAATTCCTAACAGGTAGTACCAAGCTCAATCATTTGCACTATATCCAAGTAAAACATTCACTGGCAAAGGAGGCCTGTCAACCTTTAATCTTCTACAACAGACAAGGAAGACTAGCTCACACAGCATCAGGTTCTAGCACACTTTCTTGCATATTAGACTGGAGAGCTAAAACAACTGTATTTCTTGGATTCCCTTGCAACTAAGGTCTCACATGTGACATAGTTTGTACCAAGTAGGTACACCTGTGCAAGACTTGAGAGCCTGGAGTGGCACTCTGTAATCTGGAAGCCACGCAGCTCTCATGTCAAACTCAGTTGATCAGAAAGACATATGGTTTTTCCACAGCAACTTAGCAGAAGTTCCAATGGTTCTGATGTCTGGTCTCTAACTTCATGGCGGGCAGCAGCAGCCATGGCCCTCTGCCCAAACCGTCCTTCAGTGTCACTGAGCATTTCTTCTGACTGCATTGCTTCCACTTCTGTTAGATTCCAAGATCAGTTGTCTGGTCTTGCCAGAAATTCTATGTGCAAAAATTGTAAATGTTAACCAATACCTCCTACTATTTAAACTACCTGGAGTAGATTCTATTGTCCACAACCAAGAACAGTGGCAATTCCTAGTCTCCAAGTCATACACCCACATTCATACAACTGAGACAATACTTTTGGTAGGCCAAGACCGGTATGGCAACACAGGATTCTGCCACACCAAAGAAAAGAGCCATGACCCTTCAGAAGGCTGATGAATTTAAGCTCCAAATTAACTCCACATACTCAAATATCCAAAGCTGGCCCTCTCCCAGAAAGCAGTAAGCCAGAGCCTGGGGTGGCTCTTTGGTAGATTCAGACATCAGGATAAGAGTACTAACCTTGCTCAATCATACCCTGTCCCTCCTCTAATACTAATAAATGCTCCTGTGACCTGAAAGAGTTTGGTTTTAGATATGATATCATATCTCTCAATATGAGAGAAATTCAAACTCATGATCTGAAAGGAAAGCATAAGTTAGATTTCTGGATTAGGACCTTATTCTCCTGGCCTATGTATCCAGAGTGCTTCTGAAATACTAATAAGACAACAAAGGCTTAGAGAGAAAAACAGTGTCTTTCATGTCTTACATGTACTGTGTGCTGGGATAAAGACACAGACCCTGCCCCAGGGAATCCTGTAAAAGATATGAATTAAAGAACCACACAAATAAATGTCGGTATACAAATTAGGGTTGCTATTAAAAAAAATCCTGAGTATCTTGTGACATCCTAACAACACCCTGGGCAAAAGGAAAGCTGTGAGAAGAACTCAGCATGTTAAAGAGAGTGAAAGAAGGTCATTGTGTCTGGAGGACAGACAAGTAAGAAACTGGTATCAAATAAACAAGGCTGGAGAGGTAAGCCAGATGATGCAGATCACAGAAGACCATACGAAGGACTTTAGTCTTTATTCTAAGAGGAAGAAGAAAGCACTGAAAACTTTCAAACAGGATAGTAGTCTTTTTCACTGACATTTTATTGAGATAAAAGTATGCTCATATGCAGTTCTAAGAAATAATCCCAGTGTACCACCATTTGTCCAGTTTCCCGACACAAGATATAGAACAGCGTCATCACTACAAGGATCTCTCATGTTAACCTTTTATTACCACACTCAACTGCCTCCCATCCCTCCCACAACCCTGTAAATAAATAATCCATTTGAGATATAAGAAGATGATTCTTGCTTGTCTGAAGAAAGACTAGAGGGGATCTATATTGGGTACAGGGAGATAAGTTGTTGCAGTACACAGGCAAAACGTGGCGCCAGCATGGTCTACAGTCACAACAGGGGAGACAGAGAAACTCGGCTGCATTAAAGAGACATGGGAGAGTCAAAGCAGGCCATACTTGGTAAGGAAACAATAATGGGAATCAAAGAGACAAAGGTTTCCAAGTTTACAGACTATGGTTAGATAGAGAAAATGTAGCAGAACTGGATGAAGATTCTTGACATGTTAGCGCTCTTTTTAGACTTCCAGACAGAGGTTCCACAAACACGCTGAGCACAGTGGCTCATGCCTATAATCCCAGCACCTTGGAAGTCGGAGAAGGATGGATAACCTGAGGTCAGGAGTTTGAGACCAGCCTGGCCAACAAGGCAAAAACCCATCTCTACTAAAAATACAAAATTTGCTGGGCAGTGGCGGGTGCCTGTAATCCCAGCTACTCAAGAGGCTGAAGGCAGAAGAATCACTTAAACACAGGAGGTAGAGGTTGCAGTGAGCTGAGATTGCACCACTGAGCCGAGATCTCGCCACTGAGCTAAGATCACACCACTGCACTCCTGCCTAGGTGACAGAGTAAGACTTCGACTCAAAAAAACTAAGTTACACAAATAAACTGACTTACACCAGAGATGGGGCAAGACTTAGGTTTGCAGCAGTACACCCAGGGAGAATCTCTTATACCCCATTCAAGAGCAAAGTTTGGGAACAGCTAATGGCCTAGGATAGTACAATAGAAAAAGGAAAAACAAAAACAAAGATCTTTGGGTCAAAAAATTAAGAATTCTCTCTCACATAAGATTACAGACTAGTCAAGGGTCTTGAATTACTAAACTGGCCTCTTCAAAAGTAATTTAATTAAGTGGTACTCATCTTGAGACACTGTGAGTAAAGTAAGTCCCTTGATGGTTTTTGCAAAATAACAAGACCATTTGAAAGCTCTTCAAATAATGGGCTTTCAGTTCAACTGCATTTTAACTTACATTTCTAAATACTTTCTAAGCATTCATTAACCAAATAGGTGACTAGGCTATATGCTGAGATAACAGACTAAGACCCTGGTCTCAAATCCAATCTGACACTCAAGAGCTAATGTAAAGTAAGTGTAGACTGTTAGGGGAGCAGTGTGGAAATCAAATCCATGCAGGGAGGTCTGGGGAGGAATTCCAAAGAAGCTGTCTGATAAGAATATTAAAAGATGCCATCCTTTAAATCAATTTAAACAAAAGTGAGCTAGATAAAGAAGACAGAACAGTTCTATCCTGGGGAGGAAGCTCCTGAGAGACTGGTGTCTTAGAGAGCAGGGGTAGAAAAGTGTTTCAGGAAGACAAAAAAGCAAGTGTGAAGACACAAAGGCAATAAAAAGCAGAGTGTCCTCTTCAAAGAACTCTAGGCAGTTCAATATAGCCAGAGGATAGCGTGAATGAGAAGAGGAGAGTGGCACAAGACATATGCAGAGTGGGGCAGGGACCTGGGCACAGAAGGTCTCATATTTACTATGAGGAGGCAGCACAATTCGGTGGGAAGCACAGGTGAGGAAAGAAGTCTCCCCAGGTTCAAATCCCAGCTCTATTCTTCCTACTTGGATGGCCATGGACAAGTTACTTAACATCAAGATGTCCCAGTCTCCTCATGTATAAAATGAGGCTTACATAAATTCATGTGAGAATAAAGTGAAACAATACATATAGAATGCTGGCCAGGGGCAGTAGCTCACACCTGTAACCACAGCACTTTGAGAAGCCAAGGCAGGTACATCACCTGACGCCAGGAGTTCCAGACCAGCCTGGCCAACATGGTGAAACCCCATCTCTACTAAAAATACAAAAAAATTAGCCGGGTGTGGTGGTGCACACCAGTAATCCCAGCTACTTGGGAGGCTGAGGCAGGAGAATCACTTAAACCTGGGAGATGGAGGCTTCAGTGGGCCAAGATGGCACCACTGCACTCCAGCCTGGACAACAGAGTGAGACTCCGTCTCGAAAAATAAATAAATAAAATGCTTAGAACAATGCTGGGTATGTAGAAGTACTCAATAAATGTTAGCTATCATCATCATCATCATCATCAATATCAATCTACTGGCTTTGACAGTATAAACTAGAAGCAGAAGCCACTAACACTTCTGTACCTCTTTCTACTATATATTACAGTATAGCCATCTATCTTCCCTTAGTAGACATTTTTAGATCTCCCCACAGAGCTAAGCAAAATACCTTGCATCTAAAGAGTAGGCACTGAAAGATTCGAGAAAAAGCTAAAACCAATCAATTAAATCTTCAAAACTGTGGCTTAAGGGATAACTCTCCAATTTGCTGATGGCACTAAAATATGCAGTAAATATGCAATAAAGCTTAGCTACATCAATGGAAACTGCAATATTTTTCTAGTTAATACACAAATGACTCAGCAAATTTTTCGAGCACCTCAAACTTCACAAAAGCATGAAAGGAGAAACACACAGAGAAAATCAACAAAGTGTTTGAAAATCATGGATATAAGACTTGGAAAACTACTTTTATCCAGCAAATCTGTATTTTAATGACTTCTGCCTTAGTGATACCTTTCAGCACTTCAAAAACCACAAGGAATTGGCCTGGAATCAGAGTCCAAAAAAAAAACCCAGAAACAACAGTTCAGGCAGCGAGATGATAAACTGAAC